AAACCAAACACATACACAAATAATAATATCTTCCAAGATCTTGATGATTGTAAGATGTTAACATATGAGAGCATCTTCAAGGTGCTAGCCATCCCCAGGGTTGGTTGTCCCTTTTTTGGCCCCATTCCAGTTGGCCAAGCCAGGTCTTGACTGCTTTCCAGAAGGACAAGAGAGTTGGGGCCTGCCTCACCTCTGGGGGGAGAGTATTCCATAGGGTGGGGGCCACAGCAAAGAAGGCTCTCTTTCTGGATCCCGCCAGTCGCCATTCTTTCATCAGTGGGTCTGCAGCATACCCTCCCTACCTGACTGGGTGTTTGCAGTTATTCCTTGCAAACTCTTCTCCTAAAAATGTTTGCCTTCCCCAATCTTTCATAATAAGCAACCAATTAAGTTGCCTGCACATTGGGGCTATCATAAATGCTAGTAAGCACCCTATCTGTGGAGGAACAAATTCCCCAGGAACTGTTCAATTCATAGGATATCCACTGTGAAAGAAATGGAACATATATGGTTAATGGAAAAATAGCCCTGTTACTAGATCTAGAAGTAGAAGAGGGGAGATTTGTGTGTCTGAAATTGTAGAATTACAATATTGTGTATTAGGAAAATGTTTGGAAATAAACCACATTCACTACTCTATCTGAATGTTTCGGGTGGTTTCTGCCATGGGCATTTTTCCTAACCAAGAATTGATTAAATATATATTTTATTTATTTATAAGACATAGATTCCTATAGACTTCCTAATCAATAGACTGCAATTCATAGTCCATCTGAAGAACATCAAGTTGGGGAAGAACATATTATTATACTGTAATCTAATCGCTCTACTGTATGCAAAGTGTGCATAAGCTTTCCTATTTCTTTTTTAGTACGGGACTTACTCTGAAGCTACAAAAGTCATCACAGTTGCTGGGCCTCCAGGGCAGTGCAGAGCGCCTTCCCTTGCCTTCCTTTCAGATTCAAGTGTACTTGTGAGCTGGGAGGTAAGAGAAAATGGTTCTTTGGAGTTATGTCAATCTTCCATTTAAATTAACCAAGATTAGGGCTCCCTACAGAGAAAGAATAAATTTGTGGAATCACTATGTTAAATTATCCATTGTATTTATTGCAATGATCAGTTCTGATCATTCCTCACATTAAAAAAAGATGTATTTTTTTCTCTTTATTTAATTAAACAAAACAGACAGAAAAAATGGGAAAGGAAAAAGGCGCGCGTGCACACCACACACACACACACACACACACATACACACAAATACAAATGTATATAGTTTTCCATAAAGATTGCAATAAGGGATGACCATTTTTCATTATAATCATCCATACATAGTTTAGAACTATATGCAACTTGTTCATGAGTCACAAGTAACATCAGGTGTTTGGCCCATTGAGTAATTGGGGTCATACATTTATATTCAGAGTTTTGAAGAACAAGTCTTTTAGCAATAAGAAGGATGTGGAGAATCTGGAGCTAATCTAATCTTGGCAAAATTATCTTCCAAAGCATGTGTGTCACAGAAGGAAAGGCCCTCCTAGGCCCCACCAGCCAACACTCCTTAAGCAACAGTACCCAGAACGTGTCCTTCCTGCCAGATTGGGTGGGATGGGTAGAAACAATTGGGGAGAGACAGTTCCATAAGTAATCCAGTCCTAAGACATGAAGAGCTTTAAAGGTGACAACCACCACCTTGAATTGCACCCGGAAGTACGCTGGAGGCCAGTGCAGATCACAGAGCTGTGGTGTCACATGTGCCAAGTAACTGGCACCAATAATTTCCCATGCCGCCACATTTTTGCACCAGTTGAAACTTCAAGGGCAGCCCCATGTAAAGCACATTGTAATAGTCCAATCTGGAGGTCATGAGGCCATGAGTGACCACGAGTAGGGCCTCCCAGGCCAGGAACAGGCCTAACTGGCACACAGCCCTAAGCTGTGCAAAGGCCCTTTTATCCATGGCTGCCACCCGCTCTGTGAGCAGGAGCCATGAGTCCATGAGGACCCCCAGGTTGCACACTTGGTCTGCCTGGGGCAGTGCTACCCCATTCAAAACCAAAGATGGAAGGTCCCTGGAACCAGAGGTCCAAAAACCCAGAGCCACTTGGTCTTGTTTGGGTTGAGCTAAAGCCTGTTGCACCCCATCCAGGCCTCAGAACCTTGAAGCACTGAGACAGAACCTCAACGGCATCACTCAGGTAGCCTGGGGTGGTGATATAAAGCATACTGAGGATACCTCATACAGCATACTGATGATGCCTCACCCCAAACTGTCAGATAACGTCACCCAGATTCTGTCTATAAGGTGTAAGCAAATAAAGGAACTCTACTCAACTGGACTGTTTCATTGTTGTTCTTGGGCTGGGCCTGACATCAATCTTGCCAAACTAAATCTATACTACAGCAACTAGTGGATATGCCCTGTGAGATTCTAGGAAATGGCTCTCCTGAATCTCTTAGTCTTCTCATGCTCCCCTTGTGGACTGTGTTGCCTCTTGCCTTCTCCCCGCTCCTGGAATGTACTCCCTCCTTCCTGATAGCCTTGATTTCTCACATCACTCTCCTCCTCGTAGATACATTCCATCACAGGTAGGTCCTAATAGCTTCTCTAACTCATGTTTGATCAGATTTGCTCCTTGTCGCCCTCCAGAGGTGCTTTAGGTGTCTCTTCCCCAGTTTCATTTACCTTAGCTCCTCTGCATACTATGAGGAGTTCCAGGATCCCCAAGGGAGGAGAGGCCGCTCAGGCACAATCTGGTCCAAAGCCCCTGTCGCCAGGCGGCCACCAGGCCTTCAGTTGGATCGTTCAGCAGACCCTCTGGAACGATCCCAAGCTCCTTCTGAAACCCAGTAGGGTCCATTAGTCACCTGGGGCAGGCCAATCTAATAGGTCCAGCCTCCCTGTGGTGGAGGAGAACTGTAGGGTAACCAGAGAGTAGTCCGACCGTGACAGGGGAGAAACTGAAGCCTCCCCCAAAACCAGATCACCTTGCCACTGGCCCAACAGAAAAACCAGGTCAAGTGTATGGTATTGTTGCTGAGAACATGAGCAGGGGGGTGCTACTGTGTTCACACCTTGCTTGCAGCCTCCCCAAAGCCATTCAGTGGATCACTATGAGAAGAGAATCCTGGTCTTTGGGTCTGAATTAGGAAGATTTTTTCTTATACTCCTGTGAAACATCAGCCACCTTTTTTTTCCCCAGGTGTTTAGTAAATAAGCATTAAGTATTTGAATGTCACTGCCTAAAGTGGCAGCATTTGGTTAAAAGCCATTCCTTCTGCCAAAATGCATTTGAGTTCTAACATTCACTTCAACTTAGCAGAAAATTGCGGGTAGATAATTGTGAGCTTTCCCTGTTTGTGAAGGCATATGGCCAATGGCAGGGAGGCTTTTTAGAAGATGGAAGCAACACCTAGGGCTGGTTGATGAGATTCCATTTGTCACTGCAGAGAGTTGCTACATTTTCAGGAGAAATATAAAAACTACCATTTTGGAAGGTTGAAATCAATTCACATGAGTCTTTTAACAATGATAATCTACATCCAATAGCATTTTCTGTTCATGTGGCCTGTATTAGATCACACTTCTGAAAGCTTATTGTTTATCTGTAGAATTCAAGAGGAACGTTTTGTCCACAAATAACCACTGATAGTTTTCTAATACATCATTTGAAATACTTTACATTAAATTGGCCCTTTATTAAGTGATTTTCTCCAAATACCTGAAATTGCTCTGCTCCTTCAAACCAACGTTCCTCTTTTTCCAATGCTATCAAGGCAGAGAAGTTCACAAATAGCAAATGAAAGAATGCTGGAAGATAGGAAGAAAAGCAGAAAATCAGGCAGGTGAACACTGTTGTCCCCTGAAGTGGCACTCAGCTATTTATCCTGGTTTTGGGGGAGGCTGCTGAAATGAAGCTCCTGTTTCCCATCAAAAAAAGGATATCTGATGGTGCATTGAGAAGCTTCCACATATATATGTAATTAGAAGCTGATGAAGGTGTTGTGAGTATTCACTTATTCCAAAGTAGTTCAGAAATATATTAATGGTGTTTCCTGGTAACAAATGAGCCAGTAAATGGGAACTGAGAAATACTCAGAGCCATGTATACAAGTTGGAAGAAAGCCAAAAAAAAAGAAATTCTAAGCTGAATCTTGGTGTCGGGGACAAGAGTAGAAGTTAGTGGCTTGCTTCAGTTAAAGACATTGCTGTTCATATCCAAGGTACTTTCATATAAGAGTTGATTTGCTGAATGCATACTTAACAGCTCCATTCACTAAAACATGGCAAATAAGCACTAAATTTCCCTCTAGCATGTTTCCCCAAATTGGCGCCTTCAAAGTATACCAGTTCCAACCTATCTTTATGAAAGGCTGCTCTAAACCAATTGTGGATGTGTTAAGATTTAGTTAGAATTCAATAAATTGACTGCACTTACTTAGGCATCTGCTTCTCCTACTGAATTTTTCTCTTTGAGATTTCTCATCTTGATATTTGACATCTGCAGTAAAGAGGAGGTCTTGATTGTCTATGTGACTCAGATATGGATTGCACAATTATGTATATAATGCTTCCAAAGACAGAAAAGCATCTTCTGGGGCTCAAATATGACCCAAACTTCTGTATGTTTTGCAGAGTCCTGAGAGTTTTGGTGCTGACATCTCAGAATACAGACTGGAGTGGGGAGAAGATAAGGAGACTTTAGAACTGGTGTATACTGGCACAGGCAACTCCTTTGAAATCCACCAGCTGTCAGCTGCAGCACATTATTTCTGTAGACTACAGGTAAGTCAAGATTGTTAAGTTAGGATCAGATGTAAAACAAGATGAGGATATAAGTTTCTGCTTTCCTCATAACTTCACTATAAAGTGTGACATAAACCAGGGTTAGAGGATTATGTTAGGGTGAACAAAGTAAAATTCTCAGCTGCTAATATAAATGGGGGGAAAGTTGGAGAATTCTGCTTAGCTGGTTTTTTTGGCGATTGCATGCTCAATATACGTACATCGCAGATATGGTAATAAAAATACACTAGGCTTATATTTCAACTTTTCTTGGTGTGTTTCTTTCTTTTGTTTTCCTCTTAGAACAGAACCATACATGACAGTTGGAAAGTGTCACAGGAGAGGCGTGTTTGGGGAAGGGCTAAACAGTAGTTGAGAAAAATGCTTAAAATTATCATTTGCCTATCATTTTTGTTTAATCTTGCCCATCTTAGAAGATATGGCTGCTTTGCTGTCATATATGAAGTTGAGACGATCTATAAGTAGGGATGTCCTAAAGATGTCCCTGATGATGGCGGTGGTGGTGGTGATGATGATGATGATGATGATTTTGGCTTCCCAATTTGGCATACAACCCTGGTCTCTCATCCAAATATTAAGTAGATCTAAACTTCCTTAGCTTGTGAGCCTAGACTACATTGGCCAGGTGTTGCTGCCTGCTGAAACCCAGTCTGCAAAACCTAGTAAAAAACATGACCAATCTTTCCATCTCCCAGGACCTCTGAATCTAGTTTAAATATACCCAACATTGATCTAGGCATTTTTTCCCCATTACTTTTCTAGCTAGCTATAGAGTTTTGAAGAGAGCTAAGTCTTCACATAATGTTTCTTGCTCACAATGAATATAGGATACCATTTGACAGATTAGGAATTGAGGCTGAAAAAATAGGATCTAGAACTTTGTCCACCTGTAGATCTGAAATCCAATTATGTAGATAGTTTGTGGAATAGTGAAATAAAACCTATTTATTTTTCAGGCAATAAACCAAGCAGGAGCAGGATCATACAGCGACCTGGTTTCCTGCAGAGCCCCAGCCTCTGTTCCTGATGCTGTAACCCACCTCTACGTATCGGAGGACGAGCACCTGGATGCCTGTCCAATGCCTGTTGTATGCCTTGTATTGAACTGGGAGGAACCGTGCAATAATGGGTCTGAGATTATATCTTACAATATTGAACTGGGAGATACTACTTTGCCCGTGGGTAAAGTCACAACTTACGTAATTGAGGACTTGCTTCCAGAAACCACATTCCGGTAAGTGTTATTGAAAAGTGTTATTTCAGCAAAAATCCAAAATTTTCTGTATGGGATCTTTACAGAATATGATCCAAGAGCTAAAAGATGTTTGGTATGCATGTTTCAGGTATTTCTGAAGTCCTTGGTATCTGTGTGTCTTTCCTTAGAAGCTATGACAGGAGAAACTTAACAATTTATCCAACGGTAGTACACACCTTTTTTGATATGAGCTCTCAGACTAGAGAGAAAGAACTGTTACTATGCTTTGCAAATCTACTGGAGGTTTCATGACTCTGCCACCCCAAATGGGGGAATATTTCGATATTCCTGCAGTTCCTGCCTCCTGCTGATCAAGTAATGTGTAAAATTATAGGAATACAGTATTTCATCTGAATGAGATGATCGTAGGGACTGAGCAAAAAGTTTATTGTCTTCACTGTGTGATAAGGAAGTACTCATCTGTCACAGATGGAAACTATAGAGCAGAGCACACTGTTAATGGGTCCTTAATACTACAAGATGGATCTTGTTTTTGATGCTTAGCAATGGCTTTTCATCAGCACTGGATCTCTTACATGCCCATCCTTGTTCTGCCCCTAAGAAGAGCCAAATGCAGTAATCTGCAAAAGTTTTAGGTAGTTGCAACAAAAAATATTTTGGACAATTGTTGCCCCTAGTTAGAATCCCCAGCACAGACAAATATAAAGAGGCCCTGGTGAAAATCATCTCATCTGAAATGCTGTCCTTTCTCATTCTTCTAACCCACCTCAGCCTTTTCTCTTCATTCTTTCTATTCCCCTCCCCGAACTTTATCAGATACTAGCACGACTCCTTCTCTTTCTGCCTTTCCCTTAACTTTTAAGAGTTAAAAGTTGATAGAGCAAAGCTACTGGCATCTTCTCTTTCTCCTGAGGCCTCCAGAGAAAGGAAAGAAAAGCACGGGGTAGGATCTCTGCTAAAATTGGTGGTGTACATGTGTGCTTTTCAATGGGTATGGTGCTAAATTTGAGATCCCTCCAACTTGTGGGTCCCAGCATTTGTGCCAGGCCTCATGGCATTACTCAGCAGAGGGAGAAAACCCTCTCCTTTCCTGTTTTTTTTTTTTTCCATTTGAAAGATAGACCTCTCCTCCAGCAGCAAACTGCAGTGATCTCAAACAACATCATGCTCACTGTGAGGTCATCACATGAGTGCTGCTTTCACATCTGATGTAAATACTGATGTATGTACATTATGGCATTTGCATGATGACATCATCATCATACATGTTGTTGTTTGCCTTCCTGTAGATCAGTGTTGTCCAAACTTGGGCACTTTAAGATGAGTGGACTTCAACTCCCAGAATTGGCTGGCTGGGGAAT